AGTGTAGCAAACAAAATATTACAGGTTAAAATAGAACAACAAAAGATTTTCTTTTTCTTTTATATACACAAACTTAATTGAGAATGAAAAATGATAACATAAAAAACTTTGTTAGATGCGTGGAGAACAAAGTGTAATAAGAATATTTGTAAAATAGGATATGATTCTGTTTACATTTGTTGAAACATAAAAACAAATCAAATTGAAAATTGTATTTAAAAACGTTTCTTATAAGGTCGAAATTAAACAACACAGAATGCTAATAAATATTACGATAAAGATAATTAACTTTCTTCCATATCTCGGAATGCTGCTTGCATACGTTCATTAAGTTCTGCAAGATCACGTTTGATTTTTTCTTCACTAGCTTTAGCTGGATTCTAGATATTAATTTTAAATGTCAAAATAACTGATCAAAGTATATAACAATAGAATTTACCTTAAATTTCATACTACTTAAACTGATGAAGAATATCTTCAAGATTTGTTCGAATATCATTTCATGTTATTTTCTTTTCCGATTAAACTGTTGTCGCAACAGCATGTCGAGCCAAATCATAAAATGCAATCATATTACGAAGCATTGCAATACATTTATAAAATGAATAATATCTTTAAATAAAACAGATATAAATATTTATATAAATAATGAAAAATAATTATTCTTACTTATCATATGATGAATAACCATTTTCTTGAATAAAATCATCTTTTATCATTCGTAATACTTCAAGTGTTATTTTATCTGTTTCAGCTAATGATGCTCTACCAACAAGTTGTACGATATCCGAAAGATCTCCTTCTTCTTGTAAAATTTCTTTACACTAAATTAAGAAGAAACCTTTTGTTTTCCGATGGACAAAAACGAATCAAATCCATACTTTAACATGTAATGCTACAAATTCCGGATAATTTTTATCATAATAATCATTAAGAATACGTGAGTATTTACTATATGAAAAATGTCAATTAACCACTTGAAAATGTTTACGTTCAATACTTAATGTTGCTGCTGTAACCGGATCAGCAAAATCAATACTGGGTGGAGAAAGATTAAAGCAAAATAAAAATGACACATTTGTTTTTGTAATTTATCCTTACGCTCCGACAATACTCAGAGAACCTTCACGTTCTGGATTACCCAAACATCTAACACGAGCAGTACGTTCATAAAATGAAGCTAGACGAGTATCTAAATAAGTCGGATAAGCCTAATCTAAAGAAAAATACTTATTAATAATTTAGAATTTTCAAAAGACAAAACCAACCAGCAGATGTTTCAGCTAAACGACCAAAAATTTCGCGTAAAACTTCAAACCAAGATGATGTTGAATCAACCTTCATAGGAACATAATAACCCATATGACGAAAATATTTCGATCAAGTAATATCTTTAAATAAAATCAAATAGATTTTTAGAATAGTCAAACAATCAAAACTCACCTGTATAAATCGAAACTTCACGATCAGCAACAGACATATTTGATGTATTCATGACTAAAGTTGTTCGTTCCATAATTGATACTTCTTTACCTTCAACTTATATTTTTAACTATAAAATAATTTTAACGATTAATTACATTTAAAAGATGACTAATTAAATATTTTACTTGAAGAAAATCACGTAAATACTTGAGCCATTTCATATCCACGTTTATCAAAACTAACACAAACAATAGCATCATTCTTCAAAAATTTCGATAGTGATTGACAAATAACAGTTTTTCCATAAGCAAAGGCACCTGGAATAGCTGTTGTACTATCTTGTAGACATCTAAATATACAAAGAATTCATTTTGACAATAACAAAGTTAAAACACATACGAAAATAAAGAATCTAATTGTCGAACCGGCCATATTTGAAGAATTATATGTTCTGTTTTTTCTTTCGTGAAATTCCGTTTGAAGAACGACATCCTATTCATTTTAAAAAAAACCAATCAAAACAAAAAAATATTTTCGTTCAACAAACATCAAGTGTATAATTATATATAAAATTAAATTTTAGGAATGAAACATATCTACTCGAATACAATTATCTGCCGTAAAATGCTATGATGTTGAACTATTTAATGTAGATACATTGATACGACGTCGAATGTAAATACTTTTGGTACGATCGTAAATAAGTTGGAGAAGTCGTTGAATACCTATCAGAAACAGTGTTGCAAATATAAAAGAACTTGTTTAATTTGATATATACCATGGAAAATACTCGTCATTATATCAGAAGCAAGTTCAACAGATAATGGTTTACCTGTTCCTTAAACTGGATCATCAACAGTAACACCAACTAAATAAATATTTTAAACAAATATTCTACATAGATGTTTCTTCATAAACTTGCATTGTTGCTAAAGCATTTCGAAACGAATAATTTCATCAAGTAATTCTTGATGACCAACTCGAATCTATACCAAAAACAAATAGTTTTTTTTTAATACAATTATTATGAATCTTACAAATTGATTAATTGCCGAACCAGCCATATGATTATCTGTAACGACTAAAATAAAACGATTTGTTATTAAATCATCGACATAAATAGATTTTTTAGTTCATATCTGGACCTGAAACAGCAAATACATAATCATATTGAGATTCTCGATTATCATCAGCTACTTTTCGAAGTTTATCTCTACTACCCAATTTTTTTATATTAAAGTAAAAATAAAACTAAATCTAGAACGAAAATTGATATTTCTTTAATCACATTTAACAATTCGTAGAAAAATAAAACAAATAACAACAAAATGAAAATTAAACTTTTTTTTTTCGTTTTTCGTTTTTCTTTTTGATAAATTCATTTCATCTTGATCATCATTAAAATGTCTACTATTTCATGGTAAATTTCTATTTGTTGATAATGTTGGTGTACTTGTTGTTGTTGTATAATAGGTGTTGTATCAGGTGGTGCTTTTCGTTTAACATCAGGTGATACACGTCATGTTTGGTCATTAATAACACGTTAAACCTGTGGTGATGGTTCAGACAGTGGATTTGTAATTGATGTAGGAAGATGTGTTTCTGTTGTTATTGCTGCATGTGATTCTTTTGGTGAACTTGTATAAATTCGATAGATATCAGCTAATATTGGTTGACGATCTAAACGAAATGTACTAAGTTGTTGTTCAGTAAGTGGAAGAATTTCTTTCAAAATAATTCGACCAGCAAATAATGAACGTTATGTTCTAAGACCACCACCATGTGTATCACCAGAAAATGAAGCTACTTTATTTAGAGCTGTTTCAGCTAATGAAATATCTGTTAACAAAATCACTTAATGATGGTAATATTGCTTTTTAACATATTTATCAAAATCATGGCATAAACTCCAATAATCCAAAAGATTTGTAGTGTTAGTTGATGGTGATTCAAATGGATAATGATTTAATAAATGAAATGGTGGTGATGGTCTTCGTGATTGAGATTGTTGTTGTTCTTGTTATCGTGATGAATTTGAATCAAGTATAATAAGATGATCATGTGGCATATTTTCATTTGTTTTTCGAATATGAGATCCTGCTGTTAAATCAATGTTTTATCCAGATTTTTCCTTTAAAAGACTGGTTATATATATATATGGCATCAGATTATAAATCAGAGGAAGAAGAAGAAGAATCTCAATTAATTTAATTTGAAAATACTTTGAACGAATGGTTTCAAAATCTCTATTTTATTTTAATACGAAAAATAACTATACGCAAATAATCTATATGTCTTTAACATTCCATAGATAATCACGTTGAGCTTGAACATATTGATTAGCAATTGATGCAAATAATTTCTTTTCAAAGCCATTTGATCGATCAAGACCATCCCATCGATATCCAGGCCATATATGGAATCTAAATACATGTTAGATTTCAGGTAAAGTCAAATATTAGTGTTCATATTCACACCTGTTCGTTTGAGGATCACGACCTCTATAACGAGGTTTAACTGGAGAATTATTGCGAATATTTGATCGATCGGAAACATCAGATGTTTTATTGGAAAGATACTTGAGCATTGGATCATCTAAGAAAGAAGAAAACATCGATTTTTATAATTATTCAATATCAATAAAGAATGAGAAAACATTAAATAAATATGTGATAAAACTAGGCATGATAGGAAAGTCTGATAATCTGAATGAGAAATTTTAAAATTTAAATTTGTTAATTTACCTTGACGTTCTTTTTGTTTAAGCATAGAGTCAAGATCTTTATCATCTCGATAACGTGTCAATGGTTTTTCAGCTTGTTCTAAATAATCTTTGAGAACATCTTCTGATTGTCGAACTTGAGCTAAACCACAACCCCATTGTGCATATCGTTCAGCTATTTTTTCTTGATGTTCAGCTAGGCATCGTCGTTCTGATTTAGCTGGTTCACTACGATGTGTAGATGATGATAATGATTCTTGTCGATCATTTCGTCGATGAGAAGGTGAAGGTTTATCTCGATGTGTTGGAGGAGTTGAACTATTATCATCTCTTGGATGTCGTTTTCGACAAGAAGAAGTATCATGACGTCTTGGTGGACTGAAACAATCAGCTGTTGCAGCTCCTCTTTGTCGAGGAGAAAGATGATCATCCTCTTGAGCTTTTCGTGGCGGTACTTTAGTAGACATAAACGAGAAGTAGCAATAAAATTTATGTAAGACGTTGATGATGAACTCGTCCTTTTTATCGAAAAAAACCAATGCCCTTAATCAATAATGGCAAGAAAGAAAAAAAGTTTATTGGTACGCATACTCTACCTATCATAAAGATGAACAGAAAGATGATGCTGTAGGCTCTGTATGGACTGATAGTAAAAATGATGCTCTAGTTTTCTGTGCTATTACATCATTCCTTAAGTAATATCATAATAATAAAATTTCAATAACACCTTTTTTCTATCATATATGACGTTTATACTAATGCCTATGTAAAGAAGAGCATGGATATATTTTGAATAACTTCCGATGGAAACGAGATAGAGAGCTGTGGCTTTCATCGTCCGAAAGAGGAGCAAAAGATGCATCGAATTGTATATTATATGTTCTTCTAGTATTTGGTTTAAAGTTGGTTTAATCAATTTTCGAAGTGTGCAAAAAAATGTTCTTTTATCAAAAAGAAAATAGCAAAATTACTTTGTTCATAGAAATGGCTAGAAAAATCACTTAGAGGTTCGACCAGAACACCTATAACTCTTTAATGATTGATTCTAAACGTCTAAAAATTGTGCAGTTTTGTAGATCTTCTATTGGTGATTTGAAAATATTCATAACAATTGAAAATTTTCTGTGAACACCGCACGACGTAGGTTTGTTTTCAAAGAGATCGATTGAAAACCTTAAAAAAATTATGTCAAATAAGCCGCTTGATTTACGAATCGATGCATCTTTGTCTCCTCTTTCGAATGGTGAAAGCTGCAGTTCTCTATCTTGTTCCTATCGAAAGCTATTCATAATATATCCACACCGCCTTTTTTAAAATAGGCATTAGTGCAACTGTTATATTTTATAGAAAAAAAAGGTGTTATCGAAATTTTCTTATTATGATACTACTTGAAGAATTATGTAATAGCCCAGAAAACTAGAGTATCATTTTTACTATCAGTCCATACAGAGAAAAAGTTTCTTTAAGCTTTTTATAAGGAATTAAAGTACTACTGCCACTACTTTTTGTATGTCCTAAATAATAATTAAAAATAAGACTATTGATAATACTATTCACATGAAGTAACAATCGATAGAACATTTACTAATTTATCTTTAACAATATTTTTAGATTTTTCTTTCTTGAAGATAATTGAAGATTTTTTCATGATTTAATTGAAAAAATATTCTATCAACATAACTACATTTTAATAAAGCTTCTTGATAATGTTCTACATCATTATCTAAACATAGAAATACGACAATATGACCCTCGTACAAACATTTTATTTTAAAATATAAATTAAATAATTTAAATGTACTAGTATTGATTTTAGATTTTGATTAAAATGAATAACATCGTCAATTATTTGACTATACACAATTTCTATTGTCCATTTACAAACTGAGAACTAATTTATTTAATAAAATATTTTTTAATAACAATAAATTATTTACGTTGATCTTGTTTTATTGGATAATCCTGTGCATATAAAGCAAATCTTTTAATTAACTCATACCGAAAATCGTTAAGTTAACAAAAATAATATTATCAAATTTATAGTTTTAGTTAAGATTAATATCATCTGTTTTTTCCTTTTATTTCATTTGACACATTCGAATAGAGAGCAACAAAATCAATAATATAAATACAGTTATTCAAGAGCTTTCTGTGTCCTTCACTCATGTATCATAGCGGCAATTAGCAGTGGCCTGTTTCTTAGAGTGTCGTCACTAAAAAGTGATTCTCGTTTTTTCAGCTGTGGAACATTTCAGCAGAAAAATACTACCGAAATTTGAAATCAAACCGATTTGGATTCTGGTTTTGATGATACGATGTGAACTGAGACAACGAACGAAACATACTTTTTGTTAAACACGTGACCAGTATAGATTAGCAGATCAACATCATAGAGAATTTATTTCTGAACGAAACCATATCTAACTTCTTCTGCGTCAATGCAGTTCAACTTTCCAAACATTTCCGATGCATGTACAATGCCATTCTAATACAACTGAAGCAATATTATTCTTCTGTCCATCAATAAATGATGATTTGTCTCAACAGAAAAAACCATTTACGAATTACTCTTCATGAAAGAATTGCATCAATTAGAGAAAAACAAAATTTGGTACAAAATCAAACTTAATTAAAACATTAAATAAACTATGTTATGATCAAAAAATAAAGCAAGGGCGCTTTGTTTCATATATTTATATATATATTTGATTAGAATTCGTTAGTCATGTCGATAGATTACTTTTTTATTTTTTTCTATTTATTTTTGTTATTAAATACAATCCAAGCAGGTAAAATAACTGGTGTTTCATCCAAAAACCCCGAAGATAGTCAATCAACACAGAAACCTGAGAAATTAGCAAAAGACGATCAACCTTCTTTATTAGATTCTACAAGTGGTCATTTAGAACAAGAACTTAATGCAGCAATTAACGATGAAGATCATCGTTTAACAAACATAAAAGATAATCAATTAGATAAAACAAATGAACAAGAATTATTGGACTTGACAAGTGGTCTATTAGAGTTAGAACTTGAAGAAGCAAGTAAAGATGATGCTCATGTACCTTCATCATTAGATAATTCATTATTTGAGAAAATTGATAATGAAAATTTTGAACATTTAACAGTATCCATGAGTTCATTACCAGATATAAATCAAGAAATGAAATATTTTTCATTAGATAAAGTATCTTCTGGTCATATTCCAGCCGGTATTATTTCACAAGATTATTCACTGTCAGATAAAATGAAATTAACTCGTTTATATCAAAGTAATAAATTAGAAGATGCAAAAGAATTATTTGATTATATTTCACAACACATTCATAATAGATATTTAAATTGTGCATCAAGTTTTCGAAAATGGATTATTAATCCACGTTCAGGAGAACCAATATTTTATCGAAATTGTGTTCCATGTACTAATGCTGTAGATCTTAATTTACAAAGTTTATTTGATCAACAAATACATATTAATAAATTACAACATTATTTTGTAAATACTTGTAATATGGAAAAACAATGGATTTCTTATATAAGTGATATGGAATATTTACAAGTTGATTTAAAACGACATCCAACTACAACATTTACAGATCTTATACGTCAAAATCTTATTCCTAATCATAGGTTAAAATGACTATTTTTAATGCATATTTTTAGATGCTTGTTTTCGTCAATGATTCATTTAGATATGTACTTCAAGGAATAGTTAAATCAGATCGTGGAATAAATCATAAAGATTTTCTTCATGTATTTAATTTGATAAATGATGAATATAGTCATATATGGATTATTGATGGACAAATAGAAAGAGTTTATGATCTTAATCAATCAAATGATGTAAAAGAACTTGATAGCAAATATAGAATTGATTATGTTGCACGTGCTTCTACTGGATTATTTCGACCACCATCACTTATACAATATTCCAAATATTTTGGATCTGAATTTGGATCTGAAGAAGCACCTATTGCTTCATATAATTTATCACATTGAATTTTGAAATCAAAATAGTATCAAAAATTATTTTAATAACTTTCAATTTTATATGTTAGTAAATGAATATGTCAGAACTAATAAATGTTTCGTTATTTATTTGAATGCTTAATTAGATCTTTCTTACTTTTTTAGATGGAGTACTATTTCATCAAAATATAATCTAACTCTGTCAGATAAACTTTTGTTTAACTTGCATTATTTATGTGCCAGCTGTGCAAAACTACCTTATAGAGAACATTTAAACACATATTTTAGCTATTTCAATTTTCAAGAAATCCTGTCGAATGTGATACAATAGTCTAAGCCATCTTGGAAGGATTCGTGACTAATGGAATTTGACCAGTTATTCTTAATATACAATTATTTGTTGAATATAAGTGTAAAAACACAATAATAACATATATTTAAGCATCATTATCTTGATTAATTCCGTTAATAACGAGAATTATAAATAATAACAAACGAATACTAGCAATTGATTAATAGTAGCTCATGCTTAACTATCATCTAGTAACTAATCAACTAATGAAATTATCATATATCCGATTGAAACATAGTTTTTTTGCATCAAAACAACTCGAACAAGATTATTTTGTGAAACTATTGTGCCACAGTATAACCCAAATGATTCTATTGTTGAAAAATAAGTAGATGTTCTATGAAAATAAAATACGATTAAGTTACATGTGAAGAAATCCTTCTCAAATTTCCAATGATATCCGATTATTGAGTATTAATAAGTTTTGAGTAGGATCCTATCAATTAATTTGTACTTTTGATGAGAGAGAAATGCAAATTATGACTAGATCTCAAATAAAATCAACTTATCGTTATAACATTTTTTTTTTTCGTCCGTTGAAATGTGTACGCTTGAAAGTTGAATTCAAGTACTCAAGAATTGAAAAGAACATTTGCTCGCAGAACTAACATTTTATATCTATATCATGTCGTGGAGACTCATAGCATAGCATTCACCAAATCCCTGAAAAGTCACGATCAATACTCTTGTCTATTTATACAGTAAAACCTATTCCTATTTTATGTTTGGACACTATTGAAAAGGACGTACAGATTCAGACATATTCTAAGGGGGACAAACAGCGTTCATTAATTCAAATCATTTACGCTAGAGAAAATTGAACACTCACAAGAGAGAAATTATTCATTTTAAATGCCTATTTTCTTAAGCATAAGTCAACAAGACTGGAGGATATTTCAACCATATTACTTTTTGCATTCTAAGGCGAAATCTTAGTGGAAATAGATTTTTTTTTAGTAGAAACGTAAGTTGTTCGAAGAGAAATCATTCATTCATTTCTATCTTGATAAGTAGAAGTCAAAAAATGAAATATTATGTATAGAATAGTGATAGGTATATATATTAAATAGATAAAGAAAGTACGAACGTTTTTTTCTATCGTTTTCGACAGAAATGATAAATCAGATAGACTTAACTGTATCCAATACAATTTATTCGATGAAAGGTTTAGAAAACGACGAAAATATTTAACCGAAAGTAGCTGTAAACGAATTTATTGTTGAGAAGACATCATTGGATAGTAGAACAACAATGTAATTATACACATGATGTACTTATGTATATTGCTTTGTGTATACGTAAGAGAGTAGTAGCTCAATGGAATTGTAGTTCAAGAGAAGAAGAAGAAGAAAACTATTAAACAAAAAAATTGCCGTTAAAATCTAATAAATTTTAGCAAAAAAAAACGAGTTTTGCAATAGTCGTAAAAGCGATCCATTGTCGGAAATACTGCATAGTGACAATGTCGTAATTCAAATTTTTAATAAATAAATTATTATCATGAATAAATATTAATTTAGGTTATATTATTCTCGCCGCGGTGGCTCAGTCGGTAGAGCGTCAGTCTCATAATCTGAAGGTCGTGAGTTCGATCCTCACCCGGGGCAGATTTCTTTTTTTTTTTGTTTCTGCTTATTTCTCTTTCATAGTTCTATATGCTTTCTGATAATAGACGTAACAGATGTTTTAGTGATTGCAATAAATTTTTCTATTTTATTTTCAATTGTATCATTCATTGAATAATGTTGAGAAAAAGCAAAGGACCGATAATACAAGTTGATCGTCTCGTATTTGATACAAGAAATAAAACGAAACAATATTCAATTATTTCAGGTTAAATTTTTATTCAAATCGACTTGAAATTAAACAAAAAAGTATATTTAGATGTGTCTCATTCATCAGTTATGTTAAGTTTACCGTCGAATTTATTAAATAAAAAAAATCAAGAAGAAATATCTACTGAATCTTATGTTTCATTTCCTTCAAATAAATTAAAAGTAATTCGTTTAACACTTGATGATATAAATCATGAAAAGAAAATATATTCAAACAATCAACAATCATCATTAGTAAGAAAATACTTTTTTTACAAATTCTTTTTTGTTTTATTTTATTTTTTAAATAGATATTAGAAGAAAAAATGAAAAAGAAGGATGAAAAAATTTTTTCACCAGTTTATGAATCAATCGATGAAAAACGGGATCCAATTAATCGTAATGAAAAAAATAAATATATTAATAATGATCAATTTGAAATACTTTAATAATTATTAATCTTAATTGATTTTTATTTGTATTGTCTGAAAAATTCTCCGAAATACAATATATTTCAACTATTAAACTTGATCTATTCACTAGAACTTAACAACAATCATGTGTCTTTCTTTTTGTTTTTTTTGTTTAGAAGAAAAACAGAACAGAAAGTGACTTGTGTGTTCTCTTTCATTAAAAATAAGAAAAAGAAAGCCCCAAGAATTTTTTTTCTTTTAAATAAAAATTCTTTCTGCTCGTTCTCTATTCGGGTATGTATTCACTGACAAATTCTCTATGCCTCGTTTGAAGAATTAAAAAAGAAAAAGAACAATCACAAGTTCGATGAGAATATAAAATATGAACTTTTAGCTAAAAATAATTAATTGAAGAATACTGATTAAATATTTTTCTATAGATTCTATTGAAAATAACAATGACCACATTTTGTTAATATTTTGAAAAATTCTTTTTTCTACATAAAAGAATATTCTCTTGTTTTTTAGATTCGACTGTTTATAATAATCAATCGATATGAATTGTAAAAGTATAAGTAAATTAGAAGATTTACCTGATGAATTATTACTTATAATTTGTCATTATTTAAATATAATTGAAATTTTAAATAGTTTTAGTTGTTTAAATAATCGTTTATCTAAAACAATAAATGAATTTACTATAAAAATAGATTTAAATATAATTCCATTAAAATTAATAAATCGTTTTCTAAATGAAATATTACCAAATATAAGTATGAATGTTCGTTCATTAATATTTAATGATAATTTTGAATATTTTCCAATAAAATTTGAAATGTTTAATAATCTTGAATCAATACATTTTATAAATTTATTTTCGGAAAATTTTCTTCTTAATATAAAAGAAATAAAAATTGATTTAGTTCCAGTTAATATACAAATTGATTTATTAAAAAGATTTTTTTCATCAAATCAATATACAAAATTAAAAAATTTAGAACTTATTTCATTTCATGGTTTTACATTTTCAAATATAGAATTAAATAATTCAATACAAATTGAAAATTTAACAATAACATTAAAAAATAATGTAGATTTATTTGAATTACTTTATTTATTATCATCTTCAATTGAACAATTATATATTCATATACTTTATAATGGACCATTTAAATCAATAAAATCATATTCATTACCATTAAAATTACTTAAACTTCGTTATTTTCATTTAAAAACAACATTTGAAGATTCAATTAAATTTAAACAAATAGAAAAATTAATAATTGATTCATTTTATTTAATTGAATATTTATCAATTGAAACATTAACACGTGATCAAGATTATATTGATGGATATCAATGGGAAAATTTATTAAAAAAATTAATTTATTTAAAAAATTTTTCTTTTTCTATTCGATATCGTTTTAAAATAGATGAAAATTATCATCAAGAAATTAGTGAAAATTATTTATTAAATTCATTTTCAACTGATTTTTGGTTAATTCAACGAAAATGGTTTATTCAATTTTATTCAACTTATTCAATTATTAATGAAAATTATTCAAATAATTTTATTAAAAGAAAAAATTATGAAAAATTATATTTACATACAATTCCTTATTCATATGAATTTATGGATGCAACTATTGATATTAATAAAACAAAATCAACTAACAATCAATTTACAACAAGGTTTGAAAAATAAATTTATCTTGAAATATTTATAGAAATTTAAAATCATTTATCTGAATCGTTACAATCAATGAGATTTCACTGATTCCTTAATTTTTTTCTTTTTTAACTAAAATAAAATCCTATTATCTCAGAAGGCAATAATATAATGCATTGATTCTCTTTTCAGTGGAACTTTGTGCATGTTAAAAACCTTAGTGAGTAATGTTTACTACGAAATAGAGTGAACGTTTTTAATAAATCTTTGTAGCAAGACCATTTTTTCATATCTATTCTAATTGAAATCTTTTTGTAAGCAAAATTTCAGATCAATATTCAAAAATATACTAGAAAAATAGATTCATTAAAAATGTTCATTCTTTTATTAGAGTAATTACTTGTCAATAGTTGAAAGATGCACTAAGTCTCACAGAACAGAGAACCGATACCTGGGAATGTTTTTCTTGTCAGAGCCTTCTTGACAAGTAAATCAAGATCTATGTATTTCAGCTGTATCACACACTTTTCTGTTTTCTTTATCTAAGGAATTAGTCATAGAGAAAATCTTTGATATTAATAATATTGTTTAAAATGATCGAAATTATTTTAGAGAAATCTATTCCAAAGTTCGTCATCTTTATTATGATGGTGAAAATATTCCAATTAAATTTGAATGTTTAAAAAATATTCTTGATAATTTTAAATCAATAACTGAATTAAAATTAGATCGTTTAATAATTGATTCTTCATCAATATTATTAAATAAAATAAATATTCGTCATTTAAATAAATTAACTATTTATAATACAGAAGAAAAAATTTCATTAAATATAAATTTTCTTAATTTAACATCAATGTATAATCTTCGTTATATTCGTATACCTCAAATATGTCTTCCAGATAATTTACAAATGCCAAAACAACTTGAAACACTTATATTAACTGAATGTCGAGATTTTCATTTTGATTTTATACATAAATATGAAAATTTACGTATATTAAAATTATATTTAAATAATTTTGATCGTTTATTAGAAAATAATGGTGAATTAATTAAAAATTTAATTAATTCAATTTATAATGAAAATAATATAATGGAAACACTTCAATTAATGTGTCATGGTGTTAATCAAACCAAAGTTAAAATATTTGAAAAACAATTTAATTTAAATAATATTTATTATTTAAATGCAAATTATGATGGAAAATCTTTGATAATACAACGATCTAATCAATATTTTGATCAATTTATTTAACTATAATCAAAGTTAAACGCTGTTTTTTTATACGATTTTTACTATAGAAATTGATTATTGATTTTCAATAAATTGTATATGATAATGCAATTAATTTCTATTGATCTTTGATATATACAAAGAATTAATGTAATAGATATATTCTCGAATCCTTTATCCATAGATTCTCAACAATTTTATCATGTAGAATATATTTAATTTTATTAATCATTTCGGTTTTATGTTGATGCTAAACTCTAGATTTGATATTTGATTTTCTTAGACGATTTAAACTTAAATTCAAAAGTCAGTCTATCAAAATAAAATAAATAAAAATATCATATCTCCGTCATATTGATAACATCATATTTCATTATTTAATGGTGATACTTCACCCGGAATCTTCGATCAAGTATTATAACAAAAACAAAAAATAATAATAATACTAAAATATTTCTTTATCCATAATGCTCATTCCATCAGTAGAACTCGTCAGATCCAAACATTTTTCGAGTCACGAATAATACATTGTAATCTTTATTGACCGTTACACTTCACTTATCTTCTTTTTCATAGTGTTGATCTTGACAATGTGACTAGTACATAAGTGTATGTTTCTACTGACATAGGTATGATCAAAATGATCATATAGCTCAATAAACACTATTATCGAAAGTAGCCATAGAGTTCACACATTACTTTACTAGTATTTATTAACAAATCACTTGACAGTTTAGTTTATTTTTATAATTTTCTCTTAACGTTTAATTTATTTAAAACTAAATAATTAAATGAATTTGTTATTCTACACTGGATTTGCATCAATTTATCTTTTCTTATCGAAACAATTTGCAATGATAACTAAGAAATGCAAATTAAGAATATTATCTTCTCTATTAATCGATACTTTTCAATTAATTTCTTGTATTTTTAGTTTGCATTTTTCTTGTCATAGGTGTATTTCAATCCGTTATTATAAACTGTAACATAATGAGATTTACCATCTTTTAGACAATAATGACTGTCTTTCAAAGGTTTTTACTTTTCTTCAAGTTTTCTATTGATATTTACTTTAAACGAAAAATATTTTTTATTATTTTATCTACTATTATATAAAATATTAATCATAATAGAAATGTTGAAGTATATTGGATAGAAATTAGCATTCCTTTCTCTCCCCATAGACAATGACAGACACGTTAGAAACGATTCATCACAGCCATGACTTACATCTTAGTAGTGAAACATTACAGAACTGATGAAAATGTTACTAATGCCTTCTTTCTCTATCAGAGACACTATAGCAGAACTCTTACCGCTACGCGTCATAGACCGCATTAGACGTTTTTGATATAAGAACAAAAATGGTTTATGAGTAACGTCTCGTTACAGTATATAAACTACTTGGTTATGGCATTTCTAGAGGATTAAATAATAGGATGGTAAAGAAGTATGCCCTAGAATAGATTTAATAAAATAATCTTTCTATGATTAGCAACAAGAATTACATCGTCATTTACATTTTAATCACACACAGATTGTGTAGTAACAGCATATTCATTTTTTTTTATTTTTTGGTTTTGTCGTAATGATCATTTTCTCTTCTCATTTTCTAAAAAAATCTAATACAAGGAAACAATTATTTCTAATATATTTGAAGTTACTCTTAAGAAGTTGATGAAAGTTATCTTGATTGATAATAAATAATAAATTCATGTTATCAGAATTATTCTTCACTTCAATAAACACACTATATGACGCATGTTTTAATGCAAAAAAAAAATATTTTCTTCCTTTTATGCCAAGTGTATGTTTCATCAAATGTTGTACTTCAGCCATTTGTTGATGAATTTTCGATTTTCTATTGAATGAAAATTACATTGTAATTATGTCTATGTAGAGACAAAACAAATAGAATCAGTATAACATTTCAGGGTAAATAATGAATCATCGATATAGTCATGTTTTTTCTTTCTATGAAATCACCTGGTCCTCAAATAATTCACAGAATCTCTTAAAATCTCTGAAGATTTTGCTAAGAATTTCTTAGAAGGACACAGTCAGAAATATGATTATTCAATATCTAAAGGAACAAAAAAGTTTTGATTGATTCATTAACATGAATCTCACATTTAATATATCAATGTTTGAATATAGAAGATCTTCAAATAGACATTAATATCGACATTTAGTCAACACTTTTTTTATTTGCATTTTAAATTGATCTTCATCAAAGGAATGACAATATCAAACTATAGGAATCAGTATTTAATAGAAAATTATTGTTTTTATCAAAGTTTGTGAGTTTACTCACGATCTAGATATTTTACAAGTCAAAGAAGTATTAATTTGATGGTAAATTATTATTCGATAACAATTCTTCATTTAATATGATTTAAACAAAAAATATTGACTTTGTCAAGTTATTTTTTTAATTTTATGCCTACAAGATATTGTTTTTAAAATCTATCAATCATTTATCGACATAAAAGTCAATCAATTTTCTGTTATAATATTACTTGTTGATGAATATTTTTCGTAATTGAAATATTGCTTTTTTTTTATCTGGTATGTAGATATGATAGAATTATGTATGAATCTATATATATGATAGATACTAGTCAGATTAAATGTTTTAAATAATTTGTTTATCTCTTTTTCTTGTTATTATCCGTTCATGATTGTCGGACAGACAAAAACAAAAAAAAATAAAGAGAAAACAAAAGCAAAAGAAAAGGAACGGTAAAAAAAAGAAAAAGCATCTTTCATCATCAGTCAAAAAAGTTTTAACGAGTTAAACACAAAAAAAAAAACGAGAAAACATCGTGAATAAAGTTCATTCAACGGGGTGCAGAAAACAAAATGGGCTGTTCTTTTCAATAAACGATTCTTATTGTTGACTTGGTGGAGCTGAACGAACTTGTTGTTGTTGTTGTTGTTGTTGTTGTTGTTCGGTATTTTGTTGATGTTGAGATGATTTTTGGTATCCGTTAGCATTACCACCTCGATGACCACCACGATAATAACCACCACCCCGATTACCTACAACAATAATATACATATATAAAAAATCGAACCAATTGAATGATAATATCTTACCTCGGTAATGAGGATTAGGTCCACCCCGGTATCCACCACCACGGCCATAGGAACCATCATGATAACCACCACCACCTGAATTAAAACAATATATATATTAGAATAGAATAGTTATATTTATACAGTAACTTCAAAATATAAACGACAGACATATTATATTTTTTGTCAGATATGTCTTTCTCTCTTTGAATAATTCTCACGATTCACAACGGAACTTACCAAAGTAATAAAAGTTTCTCAGACAAGATTTCTCTCATTAAAAAGAGTTTAATATTATCAATCAAATTTTCTAATCGAAATACTTTTTTTTCGAATTTTTTGCATTGTGTAACTAATGTACTCTACACATTTATTAGACGACGAGAACCGACTGTATTCGATGGGCTCTGCTATAGAGGCTATACAAAACCTAATATAGTTCTTCTTTTTATTCTTCTCTTGTTGAATTATGAATATTTTATTGAGTTTATAATCTAATATCGTTATTTCGATTTGAATTTTTTTTTTCCATAAAGAAAATCGAAAGACGAATATCTCTGCTTTTCAGCTGTCTTCTAGTATGACTACAGCTTAGCAACAGACTTCATAGCTCAATATATTCCTTAGAACTAAAACTAGTTGAGACTTTTCATAGAAGACTAGTCTTATGCAGAATTCTTAAGCTCAATAACTTGACCTTTCACATACACTTTCTAATCTCATACTATCAGATAGGTGATTCAAGATAAATAACTACTAGTGACATGTCCAGGGTCATTCGATTGTTGGTGGTGCCGAAGTTTTCTGAAAAATGACGCAGATTATAAGATTCATTTATGGGAGAAATTAAAATCGAAATAATGATATTAGATTTTACATAAGATGATAAACTCAATAAAATATTCATAACAGAAGAAGAGAGACATAAAAGAATGACCTATTAGAAATTTTACTTGCTAATAGTACAATTGAAAATTTTTAAGTATGATTTTCAGATTGATATTGATATGTTATCATTTAAAGATATCTGAGATAAAAGTTTTTTTTTGTAAAATGTTTTTAAAAATAAAAATCTAAACTGACGTGATCCTCTCCAATGTTGATTGTAATTATGTTGTCCACCTCGATATTGATTTCTATTTTGATTTTCATTAAATTGTCCACCACGATGTATATGTCCACTATTACCACGAGGTCGTTGCCATTGTTCTTCTGGATGTTGTTCATCAGTTGGAACATTTGTTGAACTAACAACATTTGATACATTTTCCTTTACAAAAAACAAAAATGAATTATTTTTATTTAGAAATAATTGATAAATTTACTTGATCATAATTATTTCCTTGTTGTTGAGTTGTTGGTTGCTAAAATAGGATTAATTTTGTTATTATAGAAGTAAATAAATGTAAAAAAAAGAATGTTGTACCGTAAATCCTTGAGAAGAAGTTTGACCAGTCAAATCTAAATAATTAAATAAACATAATAGAAAATAAAATCAAAAAAAAAAAATACTTGAATTAATAACGGTAAATGTTGGTAAAATTTGTTGTGAATCATTTGTTTGAATTTGAGTATTATCTTGATTATTTGATGATTCTTGTTTAACTTGTTGATTAATATTTGTTGTTGTTGGTGGTGCTGCTGGATCATGAGGAAAAAAAGTTGAATCTTCAATAATTTTTTGAAGTGGAATATTTTGAGTTCGTGTATCGAATTGTAATGGATATTCATTTGGACTCGTTGGAATCAAATGAGTATGACTTAATGATGAGCCAAGTACTTAAAAAACAACAAAAAGATTTTTGTTTTTTTTTATTAATTTAATATTAAATTACCATCATTATTATCGTTCGACTGTTGTTGTTGTTCTCGTTGAGGAAGTGCAGAAGCAATTGTTGTTGATGGATTTTCAATTGAAAGAGATGTTTGTTTGACTGTATCAT